GCCCACCGCCAGCGGGACGGCGCCCCCCTGGCCCACGGCCCCCGCGCCCAGCGCCGGACAGCCCCGGGAGGAGGCGCCCTATCTGGTGAAGGTGCACCAGGTGTGGGCAGTGAAAGCCGGGGGCTTGAAGAAGGACTCGCTGCTCACCGTGCGCCTGGGGGCCTGGGGCCACCCCGCCTTCCCCTCCTGCGGGAGGCTCAAGGAGGACAGCAGGTACATCTTCTTCATGGAGCCCGATGCCAACAGCAGCAGCCGCGCGCCGGCCGCCTTCCGAGCATCTTTCCCTCCTCTCGAGACGGGCCGGAACCTGAAGAAGGAGGTCAGCCGGGTGCTGTGCAAGCGGTGCGGTAAGTTCCCGGCCCCCGGGGGCGGCGTGCGCCGACCGGGCGCGGGCCAGGCGCGCGGGGCTCCGGGCTCGAGGGCGGCGGGCGGAGGCGCGTCCTGGAGTTGCGAGGGGAGAGTCGGGGACGCTGAGCAGTCCCAACAGCCAGGGTTCGCGGGCTCTACAGGCGGCGCCTTCTCCACCTTCCGTTCCCTAGGGGTACCGGTTGGCAAAGTCCAAGTTTGGTCCTCGGTTGGGGCTGCCTGAAACTTTTTAATCCTTTGGGGTTTTGTTCAGCAAGTAGAATGAAATGTGCCTGCTGCTTTCTTGCGTGTGGGTTACTGAACTTGGCTTTGGTGAGGAGCCGCTGATTATAGGTCCTCGGGATTTTAACACCTTGCTTTTACTCTTGAGTCTTGCGTGTGGTGATGATATGGCCAGGGACTGCTAGTGTGTGTTCACAGGAGGACAAGGAAAGGACAGTGGGGTGAAATTCAACCACAGACGTGGCGGAGTTTTTGGTGAAGTAACGTCCAACCGGTCGGTGCAGTCTGTGCCTTAGGAATACGTGTATGTGAGACATATGAAGTGACTTTTTTAAGGCAAAATCATCTCAAGGGTTTTTGTTATCGCAGTGTTTTGGTTTGGAGTATGTTTTGGCACGTTACTGAATCAGAGCAGATGAACATAATTATGGAGCTTCGCGTATAGGCCCCAAAGAATAATTTCAGAAGAGAAGTTTAGCAATCGATTTCCCAGAGCTTTCCCAGTTTTCATGCTAAAGAATATTCTTCCCAGGGCTGCATCACATTGCCAGGCTTGAAGAATTACCTGGTAATCTAATTATGTTTCTGAGGTAGCATTGCATTTATGCCATTCATAAAACAATTTTCTAGGATCTAAATATCTGTATCACTTCCTGATTACCATATAATCACTAACACATAGCAGGGTTTCTTTTCAAACCATAAATTAGCGTGATTACACATTGCAGATTCTAACATGAATAACAGCTTTTTTCCTTGGTCTTTATATACAGTATCAGTCTAATAGATGGTTGGATTAATTGAATTCTCACAAACCTTGATATCATTCTATGCTCAGTCTGCCTGGGATGCAAAGTGTGTCAATTCATTCAAATGTGTATCTGGTGTGGGCCAATTATTTAAATTTCTGATTGGCATTAGTGGCTCTTGTGTCCTGCAGTTAATTCATACCTAAGGCTTTGGTTTAATGACGGGAAAAGGCAGTGTTCACCCACCTTTCCTTCATGTTAACAATGTACTTCATGTGTCAGAGACCTGTTCAAACTGCACCACTCTGTGGACAGAAGCTCTTCAGAGTGGTGCTGAGGAAAGCTGAATGACGCTGGGATTCCCCGAGACTGGCTGAGATGTCACTGTAAAACATGGGAAATGCTCTGTTGGGAGCTGTCTTATTAGGGAACACAAAGCTTAATACCATGTACTGCAGCTTATGTTATTCTGTTGTAGAATCTGAAACAAAACCTTTAAGCTATATTATTGTCCAGTTTTCACAAGTTTTATTATATGTGACTCAGGAAGGATTTTGACTTTACCCCAAACCATATGAGTTTCAAATCATTTACTGTACATGTAAGAACTTCATATAAACTAAGTGACATGTAGTTAGCAGCGATTCCTAAGATGAGGGTAGTTTACTAAATTAGCAATGGTGTTAGTTACGCCTTTTAACTGGAAACAAATGTGAGACTGGAAGGATAAAATTCTTATAAGTATCCAGGGGATGTTTGGACATGGAAAAATCTGTACTGTCTGGAGGATTAAAATTCTATTTTGTGCTTGTAAGGGGAAAGCAGACTTTACTAAATGTAGGTAGTCTTGCCTTTTTTTTTTTTGTCAGAGAAAATATACAAATTGTGATGCTTTTAAAAAAGTGTGGTTTTTAATGAACTGTAAACCTCCCTGCACATAATGGAGTAGATTAAGAAATCATGAACCTACTGCTTTGGGCTTGTGTGATTATTGCGTTTGGTAATTTTAGTGTTATGTAATTTAAAGTGGGCTATAACGTGAAACCTCAAATAATCATTTAGCCAAGGACTAAGTGAAATCATGCTAAAAGTTTCTCTTGCATTTTTTACTCACATAGTAGTTACTGCAATATTGAGGGATAAAAATAAACAGTATAAGCTACTTTTAGTCAATCCATAGTTGGAATACTGGCTGTAAAGAAGTGTATGTGTGTGTGTGTGTGTGTGTGTGTGAAAACTTGTGAATTCACCCGCTTGTATGGTCTCAGTTAACAGTGCCGTTCAAAATCTACCAGGCAAAAGAACACAGACAACTACAAAAAATATACAGAGAGAATAGGGCTGATTTGTTCTGGGTGAGCAGCTTCTGTGTGCTTCTGGCTAGGAGATTTTAGGAAAGTGATAGAGGAGAGGGTCCTTATCAAAGGACATGAAGCTGGCCCAGGGGTGTGATGCTTGTGTGTAGGCTTGAGGCATGATAGTAGGCTGGAGAAGAAATATAGCAAAGTCATTTTGTGATATCATACCGAGGGGAAGTGTTTCCAGATCCTGTGCTCTCAGCTGCAGTTGTCTACGTGTTTGTTACTAGTGTAGAAACTACACATGCAACAGATTAGCCTTAGGGTTGAGCTAATGGAGAGCTTCCCTGAGCCTTCCCAGTCTAATATATACTCCTCAGCAGTGTGTGTATTAAAAGATGCTCTGTGAAAATGGACCCTTTGAAACAAACTTGGTATTTTAGAAGACAAGTCAATTTTATAGCCTGTTTGCTATATAGTTGAAGTTTGTACAAATTACACTTGCTTACAGTTGTTTAAATTCTTCCTAGCCTTTGGCTTTTCTCTTGTTTACTGAAGGACCCAAGAAATGTTGCTAGGTTTTGTGTTCATCAGAATCCAGTTAAGTTTACGTTATTCAAAAAGGCATTGCTTGTGCTACACTTTTAGTTTTGAAAGCATTGTGGTTATAGTAGGCAGAAACTGATTTACAGAAAGCAATAAAAACATGGATGTTGAATAGCATGCATGCAACTGGGCCATGCCAGATTTGCACATTGATTATGTCCTCCTGGGCCAATCTAAACATTCTGTATATAACATGATATCAGAATGAATATATATGCATATATTGATAATATAAGCATGTTTATCAAACATGATAAATGGTCCTCCTTTTTGTAATTTCCTCAATGACTGTTTATAATAAACTATGCTGACCTTATGGTGTTATAAAAGTGAAAAAACTGCTTCAGGGATTTTCCAGTCAGCACTGAAGAAAATTGTTTTTCTTATTAGCTTTATATTAAGGAAGTAGCAATAGGAACAGATATGGCTTGACTGCTTGTATTTTATAAGTACATACACATGTAAATTTAATTTCCCAAGTGTTTGTGACTGCTCTTTAAATCATATAAATCTTGCTGTCAAAAATCTATACCAGATTTGACTTCTGTTGAGGGAAGAAAATGTATATGTATTTATTTATATTTATGTTAAAAATGAAACCAAGAGAAGTCATTTGGGAAAACAACTCTTTCAAATAAAAATATTTTGAAGAGTGAATTTAAATATTTGAGTTAGAATATTTTACTAGCGCTGGGGGATAGTTCTTATCAGTGGTGGGGGATCTATAAATCCTCTGGACCTAGGGAAAGATTGGCCATATGTCTTAATGCATTAGCTAAGACTGGGAAGCTTAAATAACTGAGGATCAAAACAATGAGATGTGCTTCCCTTGGGCTGTATATTTAGAGCAAATGAGAGAGCAAAAGACGTGATTGGGGGAGTTACTGTCCTTGTCAAATATAATCTATTCTTTGTGCAGGAAATCTCCTTTGCTTCAATACTCATTTTCTTCCCGTATTTTTTCTTAATTATAAAAATAGCATTTTAGAATCTATTTTTACATTTCAGTGACAGTTTATAAACTGGCCAGATGTCCAGAGATCTTCATGTGCTCTGCCCTTAGCAATACTTAGGCTTTTATGGTTTGTTTTTAATGGGCTTAAATGATATGAAAAAACAGTCTCTCCACATAGCTCTTATTGAGTGGGTATTTGCTTAGCGATATGTAAATAAATAATGAAATAATGAAATAATAATGAAAGCAGGAAGTATGCAATTATAGTTCTTACTCCATCAAGCAATTTGTTACCAAAACCCATAACATTCCTTAGTCAAAGTTTTCCTAAGAAAATAAAAACTAATTTTTATCAGTTTTATTTTTAAGTAACAAATAGGCATCGTGGATAGTTTTCAGTGCCCTAGATTTTTTCATGCATGTGTTATTCTGTGCACTTCTATTATCCTTAAAAATTTAAGTTGCAATTACAGTAGCATGAGAAAAAGAGTAACTTAGCTAGTTTATCCCCATCACCACCACAATACCAGTCACTTTGTAATTCTCGAACAGTTCCTTACTGATACACTGTGTTTAAGTGTAGAGCTTAAGTGAATTATTTGAGAATTTATAGAATATAAATGAGTCTTTCTGAGTTGAGAGGTTGCTCTAGTTGAGAGGTTGTGTGATCAACATTGCCTACATTGTTTAGTGCTGTAAGGCAAACCTGATTCTGAAGGTTTACTCCCTAAGTTTCCACCCCCAAATGATCTGTTCAGATTGAGGGAGATAAAATAAGAGATTTTGGTGAAGTTGAGAGCTAAAGATGCTGCTTGGGATAGATCCAGTTTTTAGAATAACAATCCTCTGTATTGACCAGCCATCCAAGAACTCTCAAGAGATATAAGTAAGTGATAATTTGCATTATTGTTTGATCTTCTTTAAGAGAACTAGGATATTTTCCCCTATGGAAAGTTGTTTCCTAGGAAACTGTTTCCTAACCTTGATTCACCTTTGTAGGATCTAGTAAAATACATA